GTTCATGGATATACTATGCAGATATGAGAAAAAGAGGCTAGAAAAAGTTAATAAAGAGGTAGATGAGGAGATAGAAAAGATTCAAGTTTATAAAAAGGAAACAAACTTTGAACAATTTGAAGTAAAACTCAAGAATCAGATAGATAGATTCCAGACAACGATAAAAACAAGAAAACACTCTAAGTTCATGAGGGACTCCAAAGATTTTCAGACTGGCAATATCTATCGCAAATTCAATAGAAGTAAAAGAGTGGACTTTGACAAGTACTCCACCTCCGAATACGAGACTAGTGGATCCGAATCAGAACCGAGTGTAGAAGGTGCATCTACTTCAACTGATTCGAACCCCAAAAGTATCCTTAAAAAAGGGATTAATTTTTTAGCCAGAACCAACATAGAAGAAAGACCACAGCGCAATACAAGGAACAGAGCCAACACGCAGGGTCAAAAACGCAGGAAAGCCTATTAACCCATGAAAGTCAGATCATTAACCTATCTACCCATTGTCTGACCTCCCTAGAGATCCAAGTCCTCAGAAGAGGGATGTCCTTTGTCCCCACACCAAAATTTGATAAATTTGGCTGGACAAAGGACATCCATCTATTTGCACGAAAATTAGCCCTTCATAAATTTCATTGCATACAAAAAACAAAACGAGCTACTAGGTTGGGTCTAGAAACCCAAGATATGGACCTTCTGGATAATCTAGTTGATCTTTTACACAGTAATGATCCCCCTATGAAACTAGGCGCACCATTTACGACTTTGAGACCAAAAAGCAAATTTACCCCTCATATTTCGGATTTCAAGTATATCGATCTCTTTGTGGAACTTACCTGCAAAGAGATCGACAATATGGATGAAAATTCGCTTCTTCAGGCCCACCGTAATAACAATTTGAACCCCGCTGAGAGGAAAGCCTTAGACGCTTTAAAACAAAATGACTCTGTTGTTATCAAACCCTCTGACAAAGGGGGTAATACGGTGGTCTTGAATAGATGTGATTATATCCAAATGGCACATCGAATTCTTGATGACAAAAACACATATGTCATTCTAAGTACTGACCCCACAACTAAGTACCTGAGGGAATTGAAGAACATCCTAGATGAAGGACTTCAATCTAATTTAATAACCAATGATGAATTTAGGTTCTTGTTCAATAACAAACCGACAACAGCGACCTTTTATGCCTTACCAAAGATCCATAAACAACAAGCCGTACTATCAGGGAGACCTATCGTGTCAGGTAACAATAACCTAACACAAAACTGTAGTGTCTATGTGGAATTTATTTTACGGGATCTAGTGAAATCTCTCCCTTCTTATCTGAGAGATACCAAGCAAACTCTTAATATCCTTAAAGATCTGACTATACCTACCAATGCAAAGTTATGCAGCTTGGATGTAGAAGGTCTATACAGTTCCATCCCTCACACAGTCGGGATGAAACATATAAAAGAATTCCTCCAGACTAGAGACCCCACTCTTAAAGAACATAACATATTTGTTTTAAAACTTCTCCACTTTATTCTGACACATAATTATTTTCTTTTTGAGGGTAAATACTACCACCAGGTGAGAGGCACAGCTATGGGGACAACTTGTGCGCCCTCATATGCCAACCTCCACCTGGGATGGTGGGAACAAAATACTGTATTTAACTCTCAACTTGCCAAATATACAGAATACATCATTCTTTGGAAACGTTACATAGATGATGTCCTGATAGTATGGACAGGCCCTGACGAACTGTTTATTAAGTTTGTGGATGAACTTAATACGAATGACATCAATCTCAGATTTACCTATGAAGTTGGTGGACAAAAACTGAACTTTCTCGACGTCACCTTGGGTATAACCCCTGACAACCATCTGTCCACTACACTTTATCAAAAACCAACAGCAACCAATAATTTTCTTAACTGGGGGAGTTACCATCCCCCCACTCTAAAAAGAGGGATACCGATAGGCCAATATTTAAGGCTAAGAAGGAACTGTTCCTCTCTTGAGGACTTCAAATTGAAAGCAAATACCCTTAGGTCTCACTTTAAGACCAAGGGCTATCCAAACAAATGCTTGAAAAAGGCGTACCAGAGAGCCCTCCTGACAGAAAGGTTGGATCTTCTGACAGACAACTCTATACAGAGAACTGATCAGAAACCCATTAGGTGCATTGGCACCTTTGATTCAGGATGGGATATGGTAAAAAGGACATTGGAGAGATTTTGGCCTCTTCTGTACCAGGATCTACATCTTAAAGAAGTTTTGACTCCCTTTGTATCCATCACGGCCAGAAGAGGTCGTAATCTGAAGGATATTTTAGTACCAAGTCACTTACATATACCCGTTCCCAGTAGGACCTGGTTGAAATCACCTGCAATAGGTACTTTTAAATGTGGCCGTTGTAAAGCCTGTAAATTTATCAGAAAACAATCAAAGACTTTCTTTAATTCATCCAACACGGAAAGCCACACCACTAAGACCTTCTTTAATTGCCAAACATCTGGCCTGGTATACCTCATTACATGTAGTTGTAATATGAAGTACGTAGGCAAGACCATTAGACCTTTCAAGAATCGAATTTTGGAACATATCAATTCTGTCAATCCATCTAGACAAATTGATACACCGATTTCACGCCATCTTAAAATTCAACATGGTGGATCGGCGCAGGGTCTACGTTTCAATGGTATAGAGAGAGTGACAATGGGCCCAAGAAAAGGAGATGTCGACAAGAAACTCTTACAGCGAGAAAGCTATTGGATTTTCCAATTTAAAGACCTTATCCCCTCTAGGCTTGAATGAGGGTTTTTCTTACACCCCTTTTATTTCTGACTAGAATCTGACCTTAGAAACCTAATGAGTATGCTAATCTAATTTGTATATACTGTAAATATAAATACTATTTAATGTTTGTTGAATATAATTCATAGTGAACTGGGTACTGTACCGGCAAATGCTACTAGTTGAATCTCAGTAACGGCCTGTGACATTTTTGAAACAGTAGGCGATTGATTCACTACCCCTGTAGATACCATGGAAGCGCCTGAACAAGTTTAAAATCTATATAGATAATGAAGACATTGGACACCTATTGAAATGTTGCCTTATATCACCTTAACTTTAAGACAATTTCAACTCTTACCCGAACCATGTATAAAGGCTTTATGTATATAGCTAACCATTGGGATAAGAAGCTACTCGTATTGAGCCAGCATCTAGCATGTCTGCATACACCTTTTTTAAAATGATATCATATACTACCTAACATCAGCTGTATATTTACATACATATATCTCTACACGCTTCACCACACGACTCTTAGAAGTGATCTGTGAAAGGACTATGTGAATATATTTAATGCATCCTTCTGGAATCGATTTACTTCTGAAATGGGTGACATCGATATGGGGTTTGGACTAATAATTGCAGATGAGAGTATCACTACGGAGTCACCTCGGGGAGTATAATTGAAAGACACTCATCCTGTCTACCTGATATCTATCGGACATCCTTCAAGCAAATTAGGTAGCAGTACATACTTGGCCCTTTTGGGATATCCTATGGAACGATTTCTTTTCATTTTGAGTGGCTCTTTATATACATACTATATAGTATTGCCATCTAGCCTAATATAACATACTGGAATTCTTTTTATTTCAGGCCGTACTAGTGATTTACATATACATTGATTCCTTTTTTTGTAATTTTCTTCTATTATAAACCTTCGAGATTACATCTTAATAGTAAATTTATAAATGTTCACTGTGCAATGTTATACTTCTGATGAATATCAATAACTGACCTTTTACTAGTACATTGAGTAATTATTAACAATAATACTGAAGTTACTGTCAGGCTATATATATATCATTTCTCTACCTTGAGAAGTCCGCTCTACCAACACTACAAGGGTTAATTTACTAAACCTAGCGGTACCCTAATAAGAAGCATCAGCAGAAACTAGGCTTCTGATTGGTCCTTTTCAAAGGTTCATTTGCATAATGAATACGTTTCAATTTACTTGCTGTCGGCGCCTTTTCTCTGACCACTGATTGGTCCACGTTTTACAACAGTAGCATGGGATACATATAAAACAGCTACCCAGCCGTCATTAAACTTTCAGCCCCTGACGAAGGTGCACGTTAGCGGCACCGAAACGCGCGTCGGGTTTTCCTTCACTTTTTTTCACTTCACAGGGCACACTGTCACATGTGCAGGGACCAACATTCTAAGTATGGTCCGGCACATTAGCACGCTGTAATTATTCTTTTTCTTTCTCTCTCTCCTCCTATATATATTTTTTTTTTCCTATACTAGTGGGGGATTTAACCAATATATACCTGCTTTTACATCTAGCTTCACAGGCAACCAGGAGCAGTCCGTTGATTTTTTGAGGGCAACGTTGCTATTTTTATGGTTTATTTTCACGGGCTGGACATTTTGTTACTGTTTGGGATCCATGCAATGAGTGTAATCCCATATACAGTTACACAAATGGCAAACCTGTTGAATAGTGTATAACAGGTCATGTTCATCCCCCTCTAGTCAGAGGATTAACACAGTATAGTTTGATTAATAAAGGCAGCAACATTACATTCAATTTTTGTTGCAAATCTGCCAATTTGATATTTTGACACAATACTGTGTTAAGCTACATGATGTCTATGATATCTGTGTCTTTATACTTTACAGACATTGACACTGATTATAATATTAAAGTCAGCAGTCTGTTTTGATACTAACTCACATAGACATTAGGGAGGTACAGCTATTGATAGCTGGGGAGATATTTGTATTGATTGTTTTTTTGACTGTTTTCACAAACATTTTTCATTTATTCATTTTTCGTATTTTGATATTATCTATTTAACTCTATTTCCAGTTATTATTTACAAGTCTGGAGTATCGTCTTCAGATTTGTGAATTTTCTTTGAAGGTCCATTAGCAGTATGGGAAATCGCATATTCACATTGAGCTAGTTCCATACTCAGAATAGACTATATTTCCATGTGAGTGACGGAGAACCAGTTACAACCTATTGAAACACACATACAGCTTGTTCTCAGAACACTGGGGAATGGAATGTATTGTTTTGTGTAAATAAAGTTTGAGCTGAGCTGCCTTCCTCCCCCCTCCCCGGTGACTGGGAGGTCAGCTGACTGGGCTTGCTCAGGCAGTCACATGACGCGCCTCACTCCGGTGACAGTAGTCTGAGGCCGAGCTGCGGGAAGGACGTATCACTCACTAGGGACTGAACATGGCAGGCCTGGCCAGGGGGAAGCTGATCGCGGTGATCGGAGATGAGGATACCTGCACCGGGTTCTTGCTGGGCGGCATCGGAGAGCTGAATAAAAACCGTAAACCGAACTTCTTGGTGGTGGAGAAGGAGACCAGCGTGACGGAGATAGAGGAAACCTTCCGGTGAGCCAACCGGGGTGTGAGAGGGGGATGGGCAGTCGGATACCGGGGAGACATTGTGATTACCGAGAGCGGTTCATATAAACATCAGGTGGAACTCTGTGAGGGTGTTCAGAGAATATAGAATACTACAGATAGAGCAAGCTCTGCCCTATGGGCTAATCGGAGAATATAGAATACTACAGATAGAGCAAGCTCTGCCCTATGGGCTAATCGGAGAATATAGAATACTATACATAGAGCAAGCTCTGCCCTATGGGCTAATCGGAGAATATAGAATACTACAGATAGAGCAAGCTCTGCCCTATGGGCTAATCGGAGAATATAGAATACTACAGATAGAGCAAGCTCTGCCCTATGGGCTAATCGGAGAATATAGAATACTATACATAGAGCAAGCTCTGCCCTATGGGCTAATCGGAGAATATAGAATACTACAGATAGAGCAAGCTCTGCCCTATGGGCTAATCGGAGAATATAGAATACTACAGATAGAGCAAGCTCTGCCCTATGGGCTAATCGGAGAATATAGAATACTACAGATAGAGCAAGCTCTGCCCTATGGGCTAATCGGAGAATACAGAAAACTATACATAGAGCAAGCTCTGCCCTATGGGCTAATCAGAGAATACAGAAAACTATACATAGAGCAAGCTCTGCCCTATGGGCTAATCAGAGAATACAGAAAACTATACATAGAGCAAGCTCTGCCCTATGGGCTAATCAGATAATCTAGAATACTATAACTAGAGCAAGCTCTGTCCTATGAGCTAATCAGATAATCTAGAATACTATACCTAGAGCAAGCTCTGTCCTATGGGCTAATCAGATAATCTAGAATACTATACCTAGAGCAGGCTCTGTCCTATGGGCTAATCAGATAATCTAGAATACTATACCTAGAGCAGGCTCTGTCCTATGGGTTAATCAGATAATCTAGAATACTATACCTAGAGCAGGCTATGTCCTATGGGCTAATCAGAGACCTCTTGTAATGGGGTGATGTGATGAAGATGTGTCAGCCCCCAATTTACCCCTCGAGGAAAGAAGGATCACCCATGGAGTTATCAGGACAAAGTGCAGTCTAAATGGGATTATATCACCTGTATCCTTGGGCCTTGAGCACCCAGTGCTGCAGTCTATTTATCTTGCTTTATCCCTGAACAATGCATTTCAGATTGTGATTGTAATTGGACATGGGTACAAAGAAACTATGAAGAAATTAGTGTTGAATCCAGGCAGTTTAATATTTTAAGTATGTGTACAGTTTGCCAACAGGGTTGGTTTTTTTTAACACTCTGTGAATTACCTCGATTTGAAATCTTAATCTGCAATAGTTTAATTGTCAGTTGTGCTTTCAGTTTTGGTATAAAATTAAAAATTCACTTTGAATAACCCTGTTTGGGATTAATTTACTAAACAACAAATTGTATTGGATTGCAAAATTTGGGCCAAAATAGCAGGTGTGGGAAAAAGTAATCTAGACTTTACTTTTGCAATGCCATTTTTATTTCACTTTCAAACGGTGTTTAGTGAATAAACCCCTATATTTCCTTTGCTCTTCCTGCATGGAAAAAATGGTTCCTCAAACAACTTATGGTAGTGTTAAAGTGAACTTGTCATTTTTATGACCTTTAATTTTGCAAAGACATCTGAAGTTGAATTCCTCATTCGTGGTTCAGTGGCCCTGGGTGAACATGAGTGGCAATTTACATACCTACAAGACAGTGGCATCCCCATAGATCAACTCTCTCAATGAATAATAAGATGAAAATTATCAAAACTTTGATGACGAAAAACTGTGTCTTTTGTTAACCTAGGAATATATCATCCTTACTTTGTCTAATAACTTTTGATTGTGTTTTAATTCCAACACAGTCATTCTGAAATACTCAGTAATATTGCTCTGATAGAGCCGCTGCCTTGTTCCTCTTTCTCCTATCCTGATTGTGAGATTTGACCTCTGGCCTGCAGTGTAGGGCATCGATTTTGAAAAGCTAGTGTTTGTGTTTTGTATATCTGCAAACATAAACTGCAAGCGGTCTTCAACTCCTGCTTGTTTTGCAAATAGAGGGGTTGTTTTTGCACCCCTGAGGGACCCACTTGCCATTCTGTTGTACTTGAGCTTTTTTTGTTGGAACCAATGTACTCTGTTTTTAAGCCAATGTTCTACCTGGAAGTCTGTTTTCATCTAACCGATTTCCTTGATATTTGACTGCCAATCTATTGTGTCAACTGTATCAAATGCTTGGCAAATCCAAATGATACATTATGCAACACCCTGATCTATAAACCTGAAGACTATTCAACAAATTAAGTTAGTTTACATGACCTTGCTTTCAAACAATGCTTTTTTTGAAGTAACATTTCTTTTCATGAATTGGAAATATTATTTTTAATCCCTTTCAAATATTTTACCAGCCAAGAAGTTTAGTCAGTTTTTTAATTTTCTACATTGGATTTTGTTAAATTTTTGAATATAGGAACCACTCTGCCTTGATGAATCTTTAGATTCTGCCTGAAAAAAAGAATATTCTGTTATTAAAAACAGAGGTTCACTTATTTCTGCACTTAGTTCCTTAAGTACACGTGGATGGATACCGTCAGGCCCTGGAGCTTTGGTTATATTAACTTTCTTTAGTTGCTGCAGCACCTTGTCTTGAGTTAACCAATTACAATTATTCTGCAAGTTTTTAGTAGCAATCATTTGCACATCTATTGCCATGGGTTCTTCCTTAATATATACGGAGGAGAAATAGTTATTTAAAATTCCTATTTTTCCTGGTCTTCATTAACTAACATCCCGTTTCAGTTTTTAGTGTACCTACACTTTCATTTTGGGGTTTTTTAGAATTTATGTACTTAAAAAATGCTTTGGGGTTGGTTTTGCTCTCTTCAGCTATCATTATTTCATTTTGAAGTTTAGCAAGTCTAATTGCCTTTTTGCACGCATTATTTGTATCCTTATATCTTTTATAAGATGCATCTGATTTGTCCGATTTAAATGCTTTAAATGCCCTTTTCTTAGTTGTAATCTCTTGTTTTACTTCTCTACTAAGCCACATTGGTTTTAATTTGTTTCTTTTATATTTATTTTCCAACGGTACATACTGAGAAATGTACCTTTTTAATATTTGTTGGAAGATGATCCATTTATCCTCAGTGTTCTTTTCACTAAAGAGTTTATGCCAGTCAATATATTGTAAAACTTCCCTTAACTTATTGAAATTGGCCTTTTTAAAATTATATGTTTTAGTATTCCCCATGTGCTTTTGTTTTTTTGAGTTTATTTCAAAGGACACTATATTGTGATCACTATTTCTCAAGTGCTCACCTTCTTGAATGTTGGTCAAAAGATCAACGTTGTTTTTTAAAACCAGGTCCAGACAAACATCCATTCTAGTTGTGACATGAAGGTGTCATTTAACAAGTTTAAAACCTAATTCCCTTTGCTGAGGTCCTAGTCCCTCTGTCCCAATTTATATCCGGGTAATTAAAATCTCCAATAATTAAAGTGTTACCCAGATTCACAGCTTTCTCAGTTTGCTCATACAGCTGTTGTTCCTCGTCCATATTAACATTAGGTGGTTTATAACATATCCCAACCAATAGTTGGTTTCCCTTTTTTTCCCCCAAGCAGATATTTACCCATAAAGCTTCCACATTATCCTCCTCGCATTCCATTTGCTTAACATTTGGCTTTAAATCATGGTTGACATACAAACATACCCCACCACCCTTCTTGTTTTTCCTATCCTTCCTAAATAACATGTACCCATTTAAGTTAGCTGCCCAGTCATGTGTCTCATCCCACCATGTTTCAGTTATGCCTATTATATCATATTGTTTATTATGATTCAACAGCTTGTAGAACCACCTTTATAAACTGAATTTTCTATATGATAAATTAATAGCTTACATCGTTTTGGAGAATTTTGGCCCACTCATCTTTACAACGTTACTTCAGTTCATTGAGGTTTACTGGCATTTGTTTAATTACAGCTCTCTTAATTTCCTGCCACAACATTTTAATTTGGTTAAGGTCTTGACTTCAACACGGTTGGGCCATTGCAATATCTTGATTCTTTAGCTTTAGCTATCTGGCAGATAGCCTCACATATGACTCTAGAATACTTTGGTATTTAGAGGAATTTGTGGTCGACTCAGTGACTGCAAGGTTCCCAAGTCCTGTGGCTGAAAAACAAGCCCAAATCATCACCCCTCCACCATTGTGCATGACAGTTGGTATGAGGTGTCTGTGCTGATATGCTGTGTTTGGTTTTTGCCAAACGTGGCATTGTGCATTATGGCCAGACATCTCCACTTTAGTCTTGTCTGTCCAAAGGACATTGTTCCAGATGTCTTGTGGTTTTTTTTTCAATCACTTTGCAAACTGGCTGGACCATGTTTTTAAAAGAAAGCTTTTCCTGGCAACCATATTACAAATTAAACCATGCTTGCAGTCTTTATTGTAAGTTGTACTGATGCATTTTAACTTTTAAAGCTATCTATTCTTGTTGATTGCTTTCTTGGGTTTATTTCCTGAGCATGACAGTCTAGTTTAGGAGTTTGCTGAGATGAGACTTATGGAAAAAGAACTGTTTTGTGTTTAAATTTTTAGAATGCAAAGTGTTTTAAGCCTTATACTTCCCATTTGATAGACAGCAGTTTGCCTTCCTAAGATCATGCAGTTTTCCACACTGAATGGGAGTGATCACGGGGACACTAATTCCTCTTCATATTTAGAGTGTGAATGTGGGTCAGCCTACATAGACTGACCTGAGGAATCCAAAGAGCATACTGTATGTTGCAATGTCCTCAGCACAACTGCAAAGCAGCGTTTCCAAAACGATGCAGCCTGGCTTGTAACTGAAACAGATTATATTTCCATAATTAAATGCCAGAAATGTTAGTACACAGTTCGGTGTAAATGCGAACAATTGCCACAGGGTCTGGATACGCTGCCCGGGCAATATACATCTTATTAAGCGCATAGCGGTACGTGCCACCACAAACCCCCTGTGGAGAAAAGCAGACAAAAAAGGTGTAAAAGTAATTGTATGGAATTGTTCTGGACACTGGTTAGTATGGTGTCAGAGCTGCACATAGATTGGAAGAGAAAATGATACGGCATTGCAGTTAGTTAGTAGCAGATTATAGACATTGCTCTGCTACTCCCTTGAGTTTAATCACTTAGAGATTTTAAGAGCTTGTTTTGATGATGAGATCCAGTAAGCTACGGGGAGGGGGTCTGCGGTGTTGTATGTCAGCTGGTCCTTGTGGTCCTCGGCGCAAGGTAGGAAAGTTATCAAGGAAGGAGGGGTCCAGTACGGGGAGTTCCGTTACACTCAAGTTAAGGATCCATTTGAAAACTCCGCTAATATTTAATAGGGTAGAATTCTAGTGCAAGAAAAGGAGACTGAGGATTTTACTAAGTACCAAGTGTGTTTAATTAAAATAATTACTTTGTTATATTTTAGGAAGCCCAAATTTTACCACAAGGCCACTGGAGGCAGAGAAATGCACCAGGACTGTTGGTATTCAAATAAGCCCTCCGAACATCCTGGGCTTAAAAAGTTAAGTGATTTTCTCCCTTCAGCCTGACAGGAATGGGACCCTAAGGGTGGGGGGAGGGGGGGGGGTTTCCTGGCACTATAGTGGTCCTTTAAGTCATTGGTCATCATGTTTAGAGCAGTTTCAGTCAAGCTGGCAAAAACAGATATGAAAGGAGTGAGTTTGTTTCATTGAAGTTGGACAGTATAAAATGTTCTAGTGTTTCTGGCAGCAAATGGTAGATGGAAGGTGGACCAGTACCTGGATGGAGATAATTCATCAAGTTAAGTTGTTTTTTTGTTTATTTTTGTAATGTAAGGATTCTTAAATTCAGTGGGAGATATACCAGAAGAGATACCAGATGGTATAAAAGCAGATGGCAAAGACTGACTGAGATGCAAAGCGATATGGTCAAGAGGACATGTGGTAGGGTGGCAGGACTAAAGAAGAGTGGAAATCTCAACCTCGGTAGAAGGTGATAGAGAGCTTAGGATAGATGGGGAGTCAGGGTACAGAGCAAGTTGAGCAAGGGGAAGGGCAAGGTTTATGATATTTTACCTTTTCTGTAAAACAGGATACAAAATCAAGAGACTGGTGAGAGGAAGAGCCACAATAGAATGAAGTATTGTTTACTATTTGGAACAGGCATCCTGGGTCATAAGAGCAGATGGTGATTAAGGCGATAAAGTAGAAGTGTTTGTCAATATAAGAGTGCAGCACAAACCTTCAGTGCCAGAAGTCAAATGTAGCGTATAACTCCCTCTAGGTACACTCAGCCGTTCTGGAGCACCTTTGAAGGTATCACGATAACTTTAAGTGACAGGGTTGGAACTTTGGCTTCTAAAAGGAGTGAATTGTTGGTAATGCTTTCTCAAGCAAGGATGAGAGGTGATATATACACGCGACAGGTTCCTCTTCTATACTAATCATTTATTTGGAAATACAGCATACTAAAACATTATTTACATTACATACAAGCATTCCCCATTAAGTACCAAGGCAACACTAAACTACATAACAATCAACCTCTAACTACAGTGCATTCCTATCTACAATAACTGGATAAGACTAGCAGCCCCCAGTATATATTTATCAACACACAGCCATTGGGGCAAGATGGAGATCTCTGAACAGCAGAGCAGGAAACAGACTGACTAAACTACAGAAGAGTTACACATTGTGAACCTGTGGACCCCTGCAACCGGGGTGGCCGCAGGCCATGTCTTGTGGCCCCGGCCCACGTGGTATAACCTTTAGGGCCACACATTCAGGGACCCATCGGGTGGCCCATGCTATTACCAGGGGGCCTGGTCGCGCTGTTAAAGGTGTGATGAGGTCAGAAGCTGGGAGGAAGTGACAGCCCCAGTCATTTCCTTACAGCAGCCACCGAGAGCCGCGCAGGAGTAGAAAGGAGAGGAGGGAGTCAAAGTGGGAACTCTGACTCCCATCAACCTGAGCCAACCACTGGACCCCAGGGAAGTCACTCTCCTGCAACTAAAAGGTAGTATACAGGAGGGTGACTAAAACATTTTGCATCTGTGTCTTAATGCATGTATGTATGTGTGTGTGTGTCTGTCTGTATGTATGTGTATCTGTCTACATGTGTATCTGTATGTCATTGTGTGCCCTGTGTATCTGTATGAGTGTCATTCTGTGTATTTGAATGTTTGTTCTTAAGTGTTTATGTATCTGTATGTATGTGTGTCTGTGTTTCCGCATGTGTCAGTGTGTATCTGCATGTGTGTCTGTGTGTTTATATGTGTATCTATGTGTATTAGCATCTCTGTCAGTGTATGTATCTGTGTGTGTTATATGGTGTGTATCTGTATGTGTGTGAGTGTGTTTGTTTGTATATCTGCAAGTGTGTCAGTGTAGGCACCTGTGTGTCTGTGTAACTGTCACCCCACTTCACACACACACACACACTGTCACCACCTTCACCCTGCCACACTCACAATAACTCCCCCAATCCTGTCACTCAGCCATGCCATACTCACCTCCCATCGCTCTGCCATATTCACAAAATTACACTCACCTTCTTTAGCACTGTAACACTCCACCCCAAATCTGCCATACTCTGTCTCCATCACTCTGTCACACTCGCCCCCTTTCACACTGCCACACTCACCCTATGTCCTTAACTGCTCCAATTCTGTCATACTTAACCCGCCAACCATGTCACACCAACCCTGTGGGGCATGAACAGGGGTCAAGTCCTGGGGAAAAAAGTGTGGGAACTCACCCAAGATTCCCGCCTCCCCCCCTACCCTCCCCTTAAAAAAAAAAAAAAAAAATTACACTCCTATGCATATAGTGCAGTGCAGGGTGTGTATAATGAATGTAGTGTGTTTGTAGTGAATGCAGAGTATGAATAATAAATGTAGTGTGTTTGTAGTGAGTGCAGTGTGAATAATAATTGTAGTGTATTTGTAGTGAGTGTGAATAATAATTGTAGTGTATTTGTAGTGAGTGCAGAGTGTGTATAATGAATGTAGTGTATTTGTAGTGAGTGCAGTGTGTATAATAAATGTAGTGTATTTGTAGTGAGTGCAGTGTGTATAATAAATGTAGTGTGTTTGTAGTGAGTGCAGTGTGTGTAGTGAGTGCAGTGTGTATAGTGAATGTAGTGTTTTTGTAGTGAGTGCAGAGTGTGTATAATGAATGCAGAGTGTGTATAGTGAGTGCAGAGTGTGTATAATGAATGTAGTGTGTTTGTAGTAAGTGCAAATTGTGTATAATGAATTTAGTGTGTTTGTAGTGAGTGCAGTGTGTACAATGAATGCAGTGTATGTAGTGTGTTTGTAGTGAATGCAGAGTGTGTATAGTGAATGTAGTGTGTAGTGAGTGCAGAATGTGTATAATGAATGCAGAGTGTGTATAGTGAATGCAGAGGGTGTATAGTGAATGTAGTGTGTTTGTAGTGAGTGTATAGTGAATGTAGTGTGTTTGTAGTGAGTGAAGAGTGTGCTGGATGATGTGTGTGTGTGATGATGTGTGTGTGTGCTGGAGTGTGTGCGTGTGCTGGATGATGTGTGTGTGTGTGTGTGAGTGCTGGATGATGTGTGTGTGAGTGCTGGATGTGTGTGTGTGTGCTGGATGATGTGTGTGTGTGTGTGCTGGATGATGTGTGTGTGTGTGTGCTGGATGATGGGTGTGTGAGTGATGTGCTGGATGATGGGTGTGTGAGTGAGTGCTGGATGATGGGTGTGTGAGTGAGTGCTGGATGATGGGTGTGTGCTGGATGGTGGGTGTGTGAGTGAGTGCTGGATGATGGGTGTGTGGGTGCTGGATGATGGGTGTGTGGGTGCTGGATGATGGGTGTGTGAGTGCTGGATGATGGGTGTGTGAGTGAGTGCTGGATGATGGGTGTGTGAGTGAGTGCTGGATGATGGGTGTGTGAGTGCTGGATGATGGGTGTGTGAGTGTTGGATGATGGGTGTGTGTGTGCTGGATGATGGGTGTGTGAGTGCTGGATGATGGGTGTGTGAGTGCTGGATGATGGGTGTGTGAGTGTGTGGAGGTGCTGGATGATGGGTGTGTGAGTGCTGGATTATGTGTGGTGTGTGAGTGCTGGATGGTGTGTGTGTGAGTGCTGGATGATGTGTGTGTGCTGGATGATGTGTGTGTGTGAGTGCTGGATGATGGGTGTGTGAGTGCTGGATGATGTGTGTGTGTGTGAGTGCTGGATGATGTGTGTGTGAGTGCTGGATGATGGGTGTGTGAGTGCTGGATGATGGGTGTGTGTGTGTGTGTGTGTGTGTGTGTGTGCTGGATGATGGGTGTGTGAGTGCTGGATGATGTGTGTGTGTGTGTGTGTGTGAGGTGCTGGGTGTGTGTGTGTGTGTGGTGGAGTGCTGGATGATGGGTGTGTGTGTGCTGGGTGTGTGTGTGTGTGTGTGGTGGAGTGCTGGATGATGGGTGTGTGTGTGCTGGATGATGTGTGTGTGTGTGTGAGTGCTGGATGATGGGTGTGTGTGTGCTGGATGATGTGTGTGTGTGTGTGTGTGCTGGATGATGGGTGTGTGTGTGCTGGATGATGTGTGTGTGTGTGTGAGTGCTGGATGATGGGTGTGTGAGTGCTGGATGATGTGTGTGGGGGGGGTGGAAGCATTTTTTTCTTACTTTATGTGTATGTATATATTTTTATTTTATCCCCCCCTCCCTGCTTCTTACCTTGTCAGGGAGGGGGGAGATTGCCTGGTGGTCAGGTGGAGGGAGCCAGCCGCTGCACAGAGGGGCCATCACACGCTGTGTTCCCTCTCCAGCTCTAACTCTCGCGAGACTCGCCTGTGCGGAGCGTTGCCATGGTAACAGCCGCGGGTCTCGCGAGAGTTACAGCTGGAGAGGGAACACAGCGTGTGCTGGCCCCTCTGTACAGGTAGCAGGGCCGGTCCTGCAGGACAGGTAACGGGAACGGCGTTCCTGCTTTGGAAAAAGTGCAGGAACGCCGTTCCCATGCGTTCCTGCAGGACTCGAGCCCTGGGCATGAACGTGACACTTGGAGGGGCTGGAATGGGGGTGAGCGGTATAAGTGGGCCCCAGGGCAATTTATGCACCAGGGCCCCATGGCTTTTAGTTATGCCTCTGTATGTAGGGTATCTGTTTTGTATGTCAGAAGGTGGCTGTGTGAAAAGGGGAGTGGTATGCTGGACATACCGAAATACCAGCAAAGTATACAGGAGATAAGGTGGAGGAAGTCATAGAAAATAAGTCTAGAGGCATCAGAGCTGATATATTAAAGTCACCAGAAATTAAAGAGAGAGTGTTAGAAGAATGGAAACATGAGAACCATGCCAAAAAGTGCTGAAAAAAAAGAGACTAAAAGGATGTTGCAGGGGGTAATAGATGACAGTAACACAAAGAGAAAATGATTTAAAAAAAACAGATACCCTGTGCTTCAAAGGTGGAGGAGAGGGAAGGAGCAGAGGGATAGTTCGAAAAGCAGAGTGTTGGGAGAGTAAGATGTCCTACCCACCTCGTTTACAGTCTGTGAACCTGTGAATGGGGGATAGCTAAAGCTGCACATAACATAGTAAAGCAGGGGTAGCAGTGTTTGAGACTGGAGGCTGGGCTTAATTTAGAAGCAATGCATTATTATGTATCATGCTCCCTCAAAACTTGCAACATCTGTGGCATTGTGCTGCTTGATAAAACTGCACATTTTAGAGTGGCCTTTTATTGGTACTGTGGAAAATGTTGGTGCAATATAAAGAATTACAATAATGGTATATGCTGAATACATATTATTACTAGAGGAGACCAGTAGAGGGCGCTTATTGATAATCTGATGCTTGGGTGGTGTAACAAATGAATTAGCCGGTTCAATTACACCAATTTTGCTGAATTGCAAATGAAAAACTTATACTGTCTATGTCCTAAAATGAACAGCAGATGGGGCTAAGCTAAGCATTCACTTCCTATATTCCATTCTGTGTAAAGTTATTTATAAAGTTGTTCAGCAATACTAGATTCACATTTAAATGATTTTGTCACCAAAACTGATCTGAGAACTTCCCAATGTTGCTATGTCTAATCTGGTCTTGCTGTACTGACTATTTAGTATTTGATTCCTCATAAAATAAGCAATGCCAGACATCACACTCCTATTAGAGGTTAGTAACCATTCATAAATTATATATTTATTTATCAGATATTTTACCAAGAAAGATATATTGAGATTTCTCTTGTTTTCAAGTATGTCCTGGGTATGTTGCTAGTTGTCATAAAGGTAGCTGAACAATATGCTAGCATGTCTGTCTGATCGCAATCTAATTGTACTGTACACGGATTTCCCCTACCCCTCTAATTGTAGGTTAATCCGGAGTGTTAAAGTGACACTATAGGCAAACAGAACACTAGCTCATTAAAGTGGTCTGGGCTGGGTGCAGTGTCCCTATTGCACTTAGTACTGCAATGTAAAACAATGCAGTTCCAGAGTTCCAGTATTAAGACAGCCTCTAGTGGCTGTCTTCCAGACAGCTACTGGAGGTGCTTCCTGGCTGTTAACAAACTTTTGGTCTGGTAACTGACACTAGACATCCTGCAAGAGGACATCCAGCGTCATTGAATCAATGCTTTCCTATGGGGTGGGCCTAATGTGCATGCAGCACTTGCCGTGCATGCACATTAGCGACATCTCGTAGAGTAATGTTGGAGGAGGAGGAACCGCGACCCATTGTCGAGAGACATTGGCACTGGGATCAGGTAAAAGTAAACAAATGTTTTAAAGCCCTTTATTCACCCGGGATGGGGTGGAGAGGTGGAAGGCAGAGGGAGCTATAGTGCCAGGAATACAGCTCTGTATTCCTGGCATTATAGTATCCCTTTAACAGTTAGCCTATTGTTACGTTACCTTTACAACAGCTGACAATATACATTTTATAAGCCATTCTCAAATGGTTTGACCCTAAATGAGGATCCTCTGGTGCCAAAGTCCAGCCCCGACCTGTTGCTCGAAGTAATGCTACTGCATTAGTCTGAGCAGGCATGAGCAGCTGTGATAGTCTAGGAGTGTCAATGCTGCCCATCGCTGAGATAAGTTGGCATGTTTAAGGAGAGTGTAACTGCACTTTAATATACAGAAAGATGAATAAAGCCAGCTCCTCCTTGGGTAGTAATAAGGTTCCTATAGCGGAAAAGTTAAAACAAAATCCATTCTTTATTTTAAAAAAAAAAACATGAAAAGTATAGAGTTCTTTCACTTAATGCTAATGATTCCTTTATTTAATGGTGAACGGAAGCTGTCAGAGTCCATGCCATGATCAAGTGCACTTAGCAGCACAAAACAGGTTAGGCAATTCATAATATTAATTACTTTTTGAGTGCTTTGATTTAAAAACTTATAATTAGAATTCTTTGGATTTTTTTTTTTTTTTAAATTCTTTATTTTTGGTCTGACGAAGAGGTCAACACAGAAATATGCAGGTGTACATATGCAAGTGACAGCGCAGTGTCGTACATTTTTACAGAATGAAAGTTGCATTGTTATTTTAAACACTTTACCGACACTTTATACCCTGCGGACGT